AGATTTAATTGTAAAGATTGACACAATAAATCTGCAATTTGATCGATCCATGAGGATGGTGGTGGTGGTGTTTCTTTCTTAAATAAGGAAATGATTTCATTTTTGATAAATGACTAATAAGTTGATAGGTTTTCGGCTTATGATCAATCTTGTAACCCATCTAATTCCTGTAAACCAACACTTAACAAGCACAATCTGAAGCTCACTAGCATCTGGTTGCATACAAGTAGTTCCTTGGAGTGTTAGTGAGAAGTTGTAACCAGCGGGATCCGACAAGTTAGGCAAGAAGACAGTTGAGTCGCCTGTGACATTGGATAGTAGTTACGCCATATATATATATATATATATATATATATATATATATATATTATATATATATAAATTTATGAGCCAATGGATGGTCTAAGATCGCGCCTCGTAATCGGGAGGTCGTGGATTGCGGGGGGAATTTTTTTTATAAGACGTTAATAATGTACAGATAAAAAAATTTCCCTACATATATTAACCTGAACACATTAGTGAATTTTATAAATATGTAGGGGATCAAAAAAGTTCATCAAGTCACTTGAACTTCAGCCATTTCACTATCGGCGATCGATATGTTTATCCATGCAAACTGAAACACACACACACACATGGTGGGCAATATATAATTTTCAAGCGACAGTAGAGCTCAGCGGCGGAGGTGTTCTGGTATGATTGCATATCTGTATAATCTATTTCTATTATCGCTAATAAATACACCTTTGAGCAGCTGCTTTGACAGAAAGCTGCTACCCTGACGTGGTGGTCGAGCTTGAACACTTCAATGACCTAATCAAGCTATACTGGTTGAAACTTATGTCTCTTGAGGACCTACCATGCCAGGCAGGTTGTTTGAATAGCGGTTAGACAAAAAGCAGCTACCCAATTCAATACTACGATTCAAAAAATTCACAAAATATCATGTCAGATCGACCGGGGCCCGGATTAACAACGACCGCGCTTCCTGCTGCCGTGTCACAGAGCCGAAGTGATAAATATACTACTGAGACACACCAAACAATAAAGAACAAACAAAAACAGGCCGCGTGTGACCGGCCTCAAGCAGTTGTCCCCTGGGCTCTGCAGTCACGCAACCAACTTCCACGCTGTGGGCAACCGGCAAGTAACAATCACCCTCACAATCCGAAATGCCCACAGACAGACAGACAGACAACAGTGTGAGTTATATTCTCTCTTTGTTATTTGCGAAGGTGTGTTAACAACAGTCTAGTCACAAGGTTAGGTGGGCCAGGTTAAAGAGTCAGTAGGTAGTGTATGTGAGTAAAGTTCAGGTCTAGCAGGATAGATAGCCACACACACACACACACGTAACAATCGTGTGAGTTATTTCTAGTTGAAGCCGATCTCAGAAACGAGCTCGAAGACGTGTTCAAGCAGTGAAACCAACTGGTTTCCTAGAAATAGACGAAAAGACGGTTATTATATAGCATTAAAAAAGTTAACAAACAACGTCCACATTTTTTAAAGATTTAAACAAAATGAGACCGTACACAAAGAAACAAACAAATTAGTAGATAGGGATGGATAGTTTCACGTAACAATCTCAGCATAAACTGATGCTAGATGAAGGTATAAAGCAACAGCAGTGAGTAACCTGAACTGAAAGGATGAATTATTCAACATCCATTTAATGTAAATCCCTTTTATTGTTTTCAAGAGTTTGTTTTTAGAGATCCGATTCGTTTCAAGTTTGATCATGGAGTGGTATCAAGTTAAAGAACCATACTGTTTCTTCCCAGTGCTTGAGACTCTTTGACAGTACGAGCCCACAGCCAGCGCATGAATCCACGACCTTCCAGTTACCAGGCAAGTTCCACAGACTATCCAGCCACTGGGATTGACTCAATGGTCACAGTCCATGAATTCTAACTTCTATCAATTCATGATTTATGGAGCGACCACCAGCTAATGGACATCAATCCGCAATCAAACGTTTATTATTGTCGAGATTAGTTAATTAGACTTGAGTTAATTCAAAATCATTAACAACACTGAGTTGAAAGGATCTTGTGTTATCGAATAGTTTCACAGAGGTCGACAGAAATGTGTCTTAATGAATAGTTATACCAGACAGGGTGTGACAAACTATGTAAAGGCTCTGTAAAACTTTTTAGTCTACGAGGAGTAACTGAACACCATTAACGATTTCAGTTGTAAACACATTCTGCAAAGTTGCAGTGAATGTTTCTTCACACACACCCCTCCTTTCTTGTTATAACATAACCAAGAGCAATACTTTTAAGACTTCTCTAACTATCAAGTGTTCAGATTGGTGACAGCACTGATCTCACAAGCCGAACATCAATTAGAAGACTATTGACTGACTATTGAAAAACCACCGGAGAGTACTTGGAAAACTGTCTCGTCCTTTTCTAACTGACTGAAAGATATTTAAGATCATTTAAAACATCGGAAAAACCCTTTTCCGGTTAAATTTCACTGACAAAATAAAAAAAAATACCTTCCCAAGTGCACAAGCGCAACACTACACTTCATAAAAGGAAACATTAAGACAGGTTGAAAGCAAGGAAAGAATATAATAAACAAAAATTCACCGAAAAAAGGAATAATAAAATGGAGAATAATGTAGATTTTTAATGGTTCTGTGAGTAAGTGAACGACTCGATGAATGAAATATACTGTAAGTGGCGGCGAAATCTTAACAATCATCAAAGTCGAATGTATTTCATGAAAGTTACACACACACACGACCCAAATTGATGATTACAAACAGTACCGTATTTTGGTTGAATCCATTTGCGTATCGATCCACTCCTCTTAGGATAATAACACACACATAGAACATCTAATTTATCACATCCACATTTAATCGGTGATGAACACGTAACAAGATGAAGTAATTCCCAAGTATATAGAATTTCAATCAAAATGTTCAAAAAAATATTGTATTGATTTTTGCCAGAAGTACTGGGATTAATTTTGATTGCACACTGGTTACTCTAACTAGTGTCCAATCAAAGCATTCAATAGAGTTAGATGGTTGGAGACAATCGGCCACAGGAAGCCTTGAACCTAGGTTTCGTGCCAGTTGGCACTCACGAGTCAGCAAGGCGTATCTGCAACCTTGAAGGAACTCATGTCCCTTCTGAGATTCGAACCCACGTCACCCAGTAAAGCCTGCAGTCAGAGACGTTAACACTGAGCTATTCGGGCCGTCGATTGACCTCCTGTAGGACTGTAGTGGATATTTTGATTTGACACCAGTAACTAGTTTAATGCGTCTAGTCCTCTGATTGGTGTAGACTGAATTCCATCAGTCAGGTTGTAATGTGACCACCATTCTAGCTAGCCGGCCATCACGGTGTACATTGATTTGATGTTGTTAGATGGTTGGAGGCAATCGGCATCACACTAGTTACTAGTGTCAAATCAAAGCATTCAATACACTGCTACAGTCGTTAGACCAAATAGCTCAGTGGTGGTGACACAGATTCGAATCCTAGAAGGAATAAGACGATTGTTCCTTGAAGTTTACAGATACGCCTGGTTGAGTGACTGACTGATGAGTGCCGCCAAATACAAGACCTAAGTCAAGCGAAACTTCCTGTGGCCGATTGCCTTCAGCCATTTAACACTGTCTGTTTTCGACATAGAACTTTCCACCGATGTGCAACAGTTCGAGTCGCCACACTCCCTCCTTGTAGCACACAAAGCAACTGAAGAAAGTAGAAGAAATGCATAATAGAGAGAGAGACAGTAAACAGAGGTGTGAGACAAAGGAACAGTAATAACGAAGAACAATATAGTTTCATCACTGGAAATTATAAGTCACAAGGAGCGGATACATCAGCGATAGCCAATGAGAACGATTTTGAGCCATGTCACCAATTGTTTCCAGCCCGTCATTGGTGTTTACCGTCCCGAGGACCCCAACCAGTCAGGAAGTGGCTTAAAATAACTGTTTTAGATTTCACTGACTGGTGCCATGTTTTGGTTTGATCGCCACTCAGCTGACCCTATGTCAGCTGACATTGCCCTTTGTCGAGGAAGGCGATGACTAGGCATACGTAACAAATGTCCTAACCATCTCAGTCGATGTAATTTTGACGAGGCTGTGAGACGTTATTTCAAAACGTGGAAGAGACTACAAACGACAGCTTTTACTACAGTCATCACAAGAAAGTCGGAGAAATTGCGCAACACATTACTAAGGAAATATGCATGGAAGTAAATGTCTATAGACGTTATTAGGCACGAAGAACAGACTAGACAAGGAAAGGTTCATGACGAATACCTATAAGATGAACTAGTTACAGATATAAACAAAATAAACAGACACTGAGTATACTCTACAATGCACAGAAAAAAAGGAGGTAAGAAAAGAACTAGAAAAATACGCTTTTATGATGTACTTTACTGGCAAATGTGAGATAACGACACCCGCAGAGGTGAAATAGACGTCGCAATACAAGTAGTGAGTAAGTATGGCATAGAAAGCAATTGCATCCTTTGCAAACATAAACAAACATCAAAAACAGTGTCTCAGTAAAGCACTTGTCAAAACAGCTTGAAATTAAACTTGAACCACTATAAGAAGACAGTCTCTGTTGAGCATCTGTTGTCCAGTGGTAGTAACGTTCACCAACAACGCCTCACACGTGGTCGGAAGTTCTATCCCCGATCGATCCACTCGTAAACCTCGCTAAGCCGGTGTTAGGTAAGGCTGGTAAATAGGGAAGGTCGGGCGTGAAAAAAGAATGAGACCACTTCTACCGCGACTTTAGAGCTAGAGATTCGCAGTTCCACTAGGGACGTAAAGGAATAAAAGTCTTAAAAACCTCTCGTGTGAGGAAGCTGATACTTCGAACCATTTCCGTCCATATGAAAACCAAGAAATACTGACAAATAGCCAGTAAAAAAGGATAGTATTTAGGTGAAGTGACAATAAATAGTGTAATAGAGAGAGAACGAAATCTCTTCGCATACACACTCACCTGAAAATGAGGCGATGATACACATCTAGCTAATTGTGTAAAAAGTGGCCGAATAATTTTACGAAATTCGGATGGATCAACCACATCCAGAATTTCTTCCAATTCATTTAAAAACATCACCTCCTTAGGGCTATGCGTTTTTGGCCAAAATTTTAACAGACTCAGGACAACCTACAAAACAAAACAAAAAAGGGGTAAAAGTAACAAGAGAGATCATTTTAGGAAAAGAAAGAGATTGAATATTTTACCGACAAATTGTTTGATGTAAATTGAATTATCAATTATGGCCTTATTGTGATATTTATCCTAAAAAAACTCTTATTAAATCATACAAGAGTGTGAAGACGATGATACTTTTGTAGTCGAATCTTTAGAATTTATATGTAACAGTAGAACACGTATGTATTAGGCGAAAGAATTGTTTCTAAGAAATACAGCAAGTCAAGTTTGAGGACAAATACTCGCGCCAGCGATGACATTGGCTAGTGGTCGCGCTATACCGTGACTCGGCAGAAGTCAGAAACCAAGGTCTCGCTATTGGATCGGGTTCCAGTGGCTTAATGGTCTACTAGCTCGTCTTGTAACCGGAAGGTCGCGGATTCCAAACCCGTAGTTTCATACTACCGATGAGCCCCAAGTACTAGTGTGGTGAGAGCTGGCTGCTAGCTAAATTGGTAGACAGTAATTTACGTCACTGTTTACGTCCCCACTATTGGTCGTGGGAAAATAAGAACAAAGACTGATTCAACAACCAATGACAGCAGACTTTGCGTAGGCGGATACAGTTAGCATATAGATGATCTGAAACTCAAGAAACAGCCACAAAGAGATGCAAGGGTAACTTTCTGTGAGAAACAACCAATCAGAAGACTGTGTTTGTTTGCTTGAAATAAGCTATAATAATGTACATGAAAATATATAAATACGTGTTGATTTCCTAAATAAACAATTTTTTGCCTGGCCCTTGTCCTCAGCTGTTACACTAGGACGAAACAGTCAGTTGTCCATTACACCCAGTTGGTTTTCCAATGGTTCTGTAACCGATGGCAGTTTATGATGAAATCCTGTAACCAAACAAATACCCGCAAAATAACACTTGATTATTGGAGGAAATGACATACACTAGGGATAAAATAAGACAACCTTAAATTGCAGAAAATACTCGAACCCTACTCAATCAATTTGGACTCTGCCGTTGATTCATTGAACCGAAGTGCTTTACCTATGTTGAAATGTTATCCCTTTTTGTGGGTGTTTTGACGATGCCTGAAGATTTAACTTGAATTAATTTGATAGATAGTGACTAGCAGTGGAATCCACCAAAATACTCGTACTCTGTTTCTTTTTTCATGCATTCAAATATTGGTTCACAGTTCCCTTCATTTCTCTTGTTGGCACTATAGACCTTAAGTCACGTTATACAACATACTACTCATAAATTTTTATCAATAGCACATATCACACTCATACATTAACTTATTGATGAAGCTTATTGAATTGAATTTTTGATTTTCCCGTCGATTGATTGGACCGAAGTGCTCGGCCTCAGCTGACGAGTCCAAATAGGACGAAATGCGCATCCTGGATTCCAGTGCTAGCCACCATCCACCAATTGTATACTAATTATTGATGAAGCTACTTAAACAGTCGAAGCAACACGCCCTTTGTCGCATTTTCCCTTAATACTGTGTGTCTCCATGGTTAAACACGTTTTAGAAGTATTTGGGCTTGTTTTATGCATCAAAAAGGCACCAAGATTTAATTCCCACAGACATTTGAAAGTTCCAATTTAGACATTTTATAGACAGCAAAAAGAGAAATGAAATGAATAGTTTTATAAAACTCCTCATCAACTTCTGATAGACTAATGTATAGTGCTGTAAGCGATACATCACAAGTTCCTAGACGCGCTTTGCTGAACAGTCCCGAAATTAAGATGAAACACATATTGGTAACAACTTGGTTCCTCACGACTCTCCAACGTAAATGGAGTAGGAAGCATAAAAAAGGCATAAAATTATCATTGTACCTAGCAGGTGACCACACAGTCACAGGATAACCTCACCAACATTAAGTCATGCAAAAACTATCAAGCATCTAACGACTTCATAACTCTTGTTTCTATTCTAACCTGTTGACTGCTAATAACTTAAGATGATAGAAATCTGCGTACCTACCTCTAAACACCCGTTTGAAGAAGACTTTACCTATTTCCTCTAGAGGGAGGGAGGGGGGGGGGCGCAGACGTTTCCTCAAAACTAAAGCATATGCCCTCACAAAGGAAAACATGTTATAGACCAAATACTAGTCACTTGGCTAGACTGAATTAGGTGACGTGGGACCCATGCTATTGTCTGAAATAATACATTAACACAAGCAAGATAAACCAATTATTCAAAAGAAAACAAACAATATTTGATGACTAACTTGTTGAGTAAGTGTTGGATCCTTTTCTAAAAATTGTATAACACAATAGGCTAATTGAGCATGATATAAACTGACTGATTTCACTTTATGCAATGGTAAGAGTACACGGATGAGGAATACTTTGTGTTCTTCTTTCAATGGTAATGCGAATCCATTAATGATACTACAAAACAAAGGATAGATTAAGGGGAAACAAAAAGCATGAATAAAACTGTAGAATTGTACTGTGAAAAACATCAAAAATTATTATTATTATTATCCTTTAATTCATAGAAGAACATAGGTCTTCAGCTGCGCGTCTCCACTGCCTTCTGTTTCTGCCAACGTTTTCACTCCGCTCCAAGTCTGCCCACATGCTTTTATCTCTTCTTCACATGACCTCCTCCAAGTCACCCCACCCTTGCACTAACGACCAACTCGCCGCTTCCCTTTCGGGTTCCACCCGAGCAATGGCTTGTCTAGTGATGTCACTTGATGGTTGTTTCCTCAGTATGGCCAATCCATCTTCATTTCTTCCTGCCTATTTGTTTCACAATCGGTTCCTGCTGAGTTGGTTCGCTCATTGCCACAGATCCCTGTTGCTGATGTTTTCTGGCCGGCCATCTGATCTTGAGCGGAGTATTGAGCGAAGACAACTGTTGATGAGGTGTGAAGTTTCTTTAAGGTGCTCGTCATGACGCGCAGTGCAAGTCTCTGATCCGTATAGTAGCACTGACTGACTTCACATTGGAGTTGAAATCTGGATCTAATTTTTGATGCTGAGTGCGGTTGACCTCCACACAGACTTAAGAGTAATGAAAGCTTGTCTTGCTTTCCCGATCATCAATGCTTTGATACCCTCGTCAGTTCCGCCTGTAGTTGAAATGATACTTCGCAGGTAGGTAGGTAAAGGAGGTTGTTTCTTTCAGGTTCCTCCCATTTATGCTGGCTGATTGTTGTCTGTCGTTGTTGGCCAGGAATCTTCATCACCTCTGTTTTATCTATGTTCACCTGAAGTCCTATCTTCTGGATGCTTCTTCTATGGCCAGCTTGTTGCTTTTGACTTGCATATCTTCCAGCTTGTGGAAAATCAGACATATATCATCGGCGAAGTCCAGATCCTCCAAGTTGTTTTTTGTGTGAGTCCATTTTATGCCTGTTTCCTCATTTCCCGTTGTCTGTCGCATTATCCAATCTACTGCAGTCAGGAAGATCATTGGTGATAGTAGACAGCCTTGTTTCACTCCCGGCCTCACTTCGAAGGCTTCCGTAAGTTTCCCGTTGTGGATTACTTGGCATGCAGCATTCTAGTATTATTAAAAGTACGTATGTTGTACGACTCAATGATATACAGTTCCTATCAAGGTGGAAACCATAAAAAACAGATGGAATTCGCCGAAAAGAGTCTCTTCGCTGATCTACGTGTTTTGTTTTCATTAATGTCTGAATGGGATTATCCATGAATTGAAATGTAGCAAGGACCCCTCGACAGTCAAGGAATTCAATGGGTTTCTTACGGTACTCTGTCAAGCTTGCTGTGGGGAAAGCGAAAGTTGGTTTTTTTTAAGATTGCATCGCTAATCATCAGTATCCAAAATGGTTCTGGAAAGCACTGTGACGCAATCATATATATATATATATAAATACAATGTCTCTTCGACGTCATGCAATGAATTGTGCTGATTCTATATGATCACATATACCCGAACTGCAGTGGAATATTAATCGGAGGTTCTCTGCCCTATACGAATTAAATCCGGACGAATGTCAAACATTCACCGAATATATCAACTTAGTTGCAAATAAACGGTCACAGTCTGCCGTAACCCAGCTCAACAACAGCCTCAAGGCAAATTTCCTGACGAAATGACAAAATTTGTGTTCAATTATTCCTCAGTACCTTTAAGCTACGTGCAACTGGAAGTCTTATCTCTAGGCTCAAAATTCTGTGATATCAACTTCAACGCCGACAAACTTCATACTCAAGTCCAGTTTGAAAATCTAATCAGCCAAACGAATGATCTCATCCCAACTTCTGATTCAAGTCAACAATCATCGATTGCTGCCACCAATACTTGAATACAAAATCAAAACTCCGCAACCACCTAACAAACCGGCACCGAGAAGAATTAAAACAGTTGACAGAGATAACAAAGATCTGCTTATAACTCGCCCCGACAAGGGTGCAGGTGTAGTGCTTCTGTATCGAAAAGAATACATCGAGAAAATGAACGATATACTGTCGAATGAAGATGAATATCTATATCAAGACTCGTCGACAAGAATATGGAACCATAAATTTAAAGGAATGAAACATTACTTATCATTTCAAAAAAGAAACTTTACATTGACCTGAATTTCGAAGAAGACTCAGTTCCCAAAATATCCTCAAGAAAACAAATTCAACATCTTTGAGAAAAAACATTCTTCATAGCAACACTAAGAGTAACCAGAAGGTCCTGGGTTCGAATCCCGGTGGGTGCGTACTGATGAAGAGTCCAAACTAGGGGAAACAGCTGGTTATCCAGTACTCCCAGGTTTACCAATGCTTCTCTAACTAATGTCAGCTCATGATGAAATCCTGAAGCCAATCAAATCCCTACAAACCAACACTTGAATACTAAGAGTAGTGATCTCCAGCCGTCCATTGACTTGAAGAAGTCTTAATGACAATTGACCAATTCTATGTGTGCATATATCAGTTTATTTGTTGCTGTGGAACCAGGTACATTGGTAGTTTGGCGCGTATCCTAGTTTCAGAAAGATAATAGTGGCTCTCTATAAGGAGTGAGATAATCGAATACCTCTCATTAACAACACCTGCTATTCCATCTCAACAAACGCCTCCTCCTTCAAAGTAATCTACAAAGTGAAGAATAACTTGCCAAAGGCAATACGTTTGCATTGCTGAAGCTCTAGCTATACAGATAGAATTATCAGAGCTATGCACTCAAAAGGACATTCTGAAACCAATTCTACTATCATGGTAACAACCGTGTTGATTTCATCATACCTTTTATGAAGTATTTCGATGACGTCAACAATAGACCTAACTAAGGTTTATTCTTGTCTGACACACCTAATGTACGCATACACACATACAACAACAAAACACAATGGATGACACCTTCATTCTTTGTGATAATGATTCGGATAGGAGTACAATAATTACTGAATTCAATGAAGTACATTCGGCTATGTGAAATTCACATGCAAAGAGGAATCCCCCAAAACAGAATTTATTGCCTTCCTGGATGTCTTCCTTACAAGAAAACCACCAGATGGTAGGTAGCATAAAAAGAAATTTGCATAGAAAAAGTACTTGGACAGGACAATGTTATACACATTTTCACAGCTTCGTTCCTATCAAGTACAAAAGAAATTTAGTGAAGACCCTCAACCACATAGTTAGTCAGAGCTATATGCTCAGAAGAAGTAATTGAAGATGAATAAAGCATTGTATATGATACTTTGATTGATCGAAAATAGCTATCCCGACAAATTTATCAAGAAACACATGACAAAGAAAGCGGCGGAAAAGGACTACTCACTATCTGTAAATAAGAAGCCACTTTATATACGACTACAATTCAAGAGCGATATAACAAGTGAGATAACTACGAGGAAATTAAGAAAATCAGTTCAAAGGACTTTTAATGCTGGTGGTGCTACCTTGACCGAAAGATGAAGTACCTAGACTAGCCACCTCGAATTGTATCTACCAATTCAGCTGCGCTCGTGGTGAAGCGAGTTATATTGGCCAATGCTCTACGAATTTGATTTTTCATGCCCAATCGAGAACATCTCCCACTATGGCTAAGTATATTCGTAGTTAAAAACCATTAACAGTTCGATACCGGACCATCTGGTGCAAACCGGTTACAAAGCCAGCGTGGAAGAATCCTACCCTATAATCTACCGAGTGCCTAATAAATTCCCAAAATCATCGAAGCACCACATGCTTCAAACAGCAGAGGCTATTGCGATTCACCTCAATCAACCAATGCTCTGTGTTGAAAAGAAACAAGTCCAGCCTCCACTACTGCCCTGCCCTTCAGTGAAGACTAAAAATTCATGAATTTGTAATATTATTTTTCCTAATTTTTCTGACATTCAGCTTTTTTTATGTTGATGCTATTGAGCTGTAATCTATCAGTATTATTGATTTGATGTTATTTAAACAGCAACATTAATGTTGTTCATAACACTAATTCATTGATTCACTATAATGTATATATAACTGTGGAGCCTGATGATGAAGTTATCCAAAAGAGTACTCTTTGTTCAGTATCCATTCTTTTGAATAATTAAATATAATTGCGATTGTACAGCTTTGTGAATGAATTCCGTGAAAAGAGACCCTCCACTGAACTATGTCTTCGATTTTTTTTCATGAATGACCGAGCATAGGGATTATTCATGAGACTGTAATTTCAGAAGCATATAACTACAAACACCAACCACCTAGTAACAATGCACATGAAAAGCAAAAAACGATAACAATGAGATGTATATCTAAGATGTGCATTTTTATTTTTAATTCCTATCCATGAACTTGACGGCATCATAACCCTATATCTTAAACAGAGTTAGGCATAACACATATAGTACTGACTGAAATGTACCGATTCAATGGGTAATCTCATCAATAATATAAATGACACGCGTATCTTGAGAAATTGTATGTGATCTTATATGAATCTGTGCAGTAAGGTTTTTGAATTTTTAACACTCATGATTAGAATTATCGTAAGTCAAAAACTGCACATCATAGCGTACACATGTATCGAAAGGCTGTGTGAAGACTGAACTTGCTGAACAAATCAGCCGTGAAAAGACATGATATATATTCTTTAGTATCAATGCATACAGACAATTATGGACATCAATTTGATTTGTCAAAATCTTAGACAGAGAAAACACCGAAAGTTCAGTCAAGGAATTCCTAGAAGCCTGGTACTCAAACGAAAATGCCGTTAATAAACACGTTAATATAGATGAAATATATCAACTAATAAAAAGTAAATCAGGTGACCAGAAAGTTTAAAATCCCAATCAAATGAAAACGGTCAATAAATATGTAAAGATGGTTGATCACCAGGAGAAGTAATTGTATCATCATTCATGGAGATTTTAAATCATTTGACTTTATGCTAAATACTGCACTGTCGTCCAGAAAGATGACGAAAGCTCCGCAAATGTACCAACCAGCTCAGAGAACACTATTAATTGCAAGACTGAACATGCATCAAAAACCTAGTTTTTGCAACGGCGAAGACTGTAAACTTTACGTTTGAGCAGCTTTCAATACTCGTCATGTTTGGAACCAGAGGAAATTAATTTTCTTGCGTTTATCACTTCGAATGAAACAGCAGAAATCCGCATTGGTTTAAGGTTACCAATAATCTTTTAACAAGGATTGTACAGATGACTGGATATGTTATATCAGCCTTCATCAGGATCATCATCACCCATTGGAACATTAGATTGAAAGAACAAGAAGTTCAGCAAACTGATATCTGTCTGTCTTTTCGGCGGTTTCATTCTCAAAACCAGCTGTACAATCGCATTTATATAGATTAGTTTACATGGATACAATTATTATTTGTTTAATTAATTCCACATAGTAACGAAGGTGATAATAATTTTCAACTTGATATGAAAGTTTGAAGGTACGAATATAGATTACAAGGGGCTGAGACAAGATTGTTTAATTCTTCTTCTACCTTGTTAGGCGAACATAACTTTGTGGCCCTGTTGTACAGTGTCCTTACTAATCCCCGCTTATAGCTCATAGGGCAGAAGCTGTTGTAGTGAAGGTGTTGTCCGGTCCAAGTTTCTTTTCTGTAGATGGACTTTTCGACCGTTCCATCACTTCTTCTTTTTACATTTAGGTCCAGGAAATTGAACTCATCGTTGCGTTCGTATTCCATGGTGAATTTTATGTTTGGGTGAACCTCATTTAGGCGGTCAAATAATACGGATGCCTGATTCATGTCGTTACAAACAACAAAAGTATCATCGATGTATCAACGGTAGTATGTTGTTTCATTGATAGCGTCACTCAATCACTGTTCGAGATATCCCATGAAGATGTCTGCTAGAATGGGTCCTAGAGGTGAACCCGTGGTGACCCCGTCAATTTGTCGGTAGAATTGGTTATTGAATCTAAATTGGATGTCTTTTGTGCAAACAATTAGTAGCCGTTTCATCTCTGACTCCGGTAATGGCAATAGATCTGTTTGTTTACAAATGATATCTATTGTTTCCATCAATGGAACATTTGTAAATAAGGCAGTCACGTCGTATGACACCAGTCGAACGTCACAGACTAAACATATGCATACAGAAAGAGAGTGTGGTCAATCTCTCACTCCCTTGGTAACCATATCAATTTCATTACACTGATTAGTCATACACACTAGTGAGCTCAACTCACTAAGCAAGTTTTCAAATTGATGAACTTTGACCTTCTTGAGTTGCCATGTTGAAACTGTTTACTAGATTTTTTCTGTTTTCTGTCTTCTCTCACCCCCCTCCCTTTTTTTCTTTTTTCATAGTTTGACAGTATATAAATTGATGATGCGTTCGCCTTATAATGTTTTCTCTATTACCTTTCAAACAATGAAGTATGAAATGTTATTATTTATAACCATTGTAATTTCAGGTAGTTTGCAGTTAGCTGATGAGAACCTGTGAAATAGAATGACATCATTTTATACTGCAAATCTGGTCTTTCATTCTCTATCGAAATTTATCAAGGGGACCAAATGTATGAAACTGATTTTATGACTGAAAAAATTGGATGAATTGAATGAAGGCAAAGAGAGAAAAATTGTTTTGTTATCTCTGTGTGTGTGTGTGTGTGTAATATAATGCGATTGTATAGCTGCTTTTGAGAATGAAATCGCCAAAAAGACAGATATAAGTTTGCTGAACTTCTTGAGTTTTTTTTCATCAGGATAGACGCCTAACTATTTTTCCCACCCCCAACAAGACTAATCATGTAGAAAAAAACTGACGTTTAAATCCATAAGCTGCTTAGTGAAGTGCGAGTAAAGACAACTTCAGAATAACTGTGGAATACTTCACATCGCTATGTCACCACCACCACCACCACCTGTGAATCGGACATTCAGGTAGAATTTCAAGTTTGACAAAGTTAAAGGTGCGAAAACAGGCTGTACAAGATGACTAAGTCTCAATAATTATTTTTTTCTGAAATGTGCAACTACTACTACTAGACAACGTTTTAACTATCAGTAATATACAGAAGAAAATAATCAAAATATTATTAATAGACTAACCTGCCTAATATCTCTAACAACTCGGCGATACCATTATGCATTTCTGTCTCATAAATAAACCTAGTGAAACAAAAGAAAGAAAGACAACAAAATTGAATAACATGGAAGATTTCATCATGAGCTGACATCAGTTAGAGAACCACTGGAAAACCTGGGAGTACTGGACATCTGTTTCGTCCTAGTTTGGGACTCCTCAGCAGTACGCACCCACCGGGATTCGAACCCAGGACCTTCTGGTTACAAGGCGAGCTCGTAGACCATTGAGCCACTGGGACCCGATCCAATGGTCCTTGAATTCTAATTTCTGCCAGTTCACGACATAGCGCGACCACTTCGCAATGTCTTCTTCGATGAGTTACTGCCTCATCTTCGACCTGCTGTACCCTACTGGTCACGGCTTCCCACTAGAACCCCAGGTTAACTGCCTGAATAGGGCCAGTCACTAGTGAGCATCAGATGAATTTTCAAGTATTGGTTTTTGTAGGGATTTTGTTTGATTGCATGGAGGATTTAATCATGAGCTGACATCAGTTAGAGAACCACTGGAAAACCTGGGAGTACTGGACAGCCGTTTCGTCCTAGTTTGGGACTCCTCAGCAGTACGCACCCACCGCGATTCGAACCCAGGACCAGAAGGTCAGCTCATGATTAAATCCTCCATGCAATCAAACAAAATCCCTACAAAAACCAATACTTGAAAAATTGAATAACGAAAATTCTGAAGTCTGGCTGCCAAATTCTAACTAGTATTGTCCTTTTCGAGTTCCGAGTGGGACACACGGCTTCAACAACACATCTCCTCTTTTCTCAATCTCTTCTATGTGACCATCCTCGAACGACCCGGTTGCCGTTTACCATACGAGTTGCACTATAGTGAAATGGTCTGGCGTGCGATGCTAATCGATGGCCTCCTCCTCCTCAGTGTGTGTCCAAGTTCATCTCCATTTTGTCTGGAATATTCGTTGAGCGATTGGTTCTTGATTTGTTCATTTGCAGAGTCTCTTGTTGCCAGTTCTTTCTAGCTGGTCAACAAAATTGCTTCTTGTTGTGGTTGTTGTTGCTGTTGACTGGTTGCTTATCTTCATCACCTCCGTCTTCTCTATGTGCGCCACTTGAAGTCTTGGTCTTTACTGCCTACCTATTCAGCCAGTCTGTAAGTCTCCGATTTTATATAAAATTAGACATAAATCATCGGCGAAGACCACATCTTATCTGTCCAACGTATTCCTGTCCCCTCACTCCCCACAGTTTGCTGCACAATCCAGTACAACCCAGTTAAGAATCTCTCTCTCTGTCTGTTTTCGACATAGAACTTTGCACAAATGTGCGGAAGTTCAAGTCGCCAAGTTAAGAATATCATCGGTGATAAGAGAAAGTCTTGTCTTACTCCTGTATTCACTTCTAACGCCTCGATGAGTTTACCGCTGACGGTCGCCTAACACGTAGCATTGTCATATAAACAGATGTTGAATAAGGCTGATGAAGATTTCAGGCACTGCACTGCATAGTATTGAAGTAGTTTTCAAATTACATCTCCGTCAACGCTGTCTGTCAAAGGCCCTTTCAAAGTCGATGAAGTTGAAGTGGAGGTTTGACTGCCATTCTACGTTTTGTTCGGTGATAATACGTAGAGTTGAAATTTCTTTCCTTTTTTCCAATGAGTAGGAGGTTCATCAGACTTCTAAATTTAGATTTTCAAGTATCACACAACTATTTTATTTAACTAAATACAAGCAATGAAATTAAGAATCAATCTGAAAGAATAATGAATGATTTAAACGACATTGGACTACATACGATACAAATAATCAACCACATGGCATGATGTGAAAATCACAAAAGATCTTTGTCAAAGAAGCGGAGCAGTGATCCATCGGTTTACGCGCTCCTAAACTATCAACTACTGCTCCTTCTAGGCGAGGACGCTGACAAAATCCAGAGTCTTCTAAACACCTATCTACGAAGGTTTGGCATGCGATTCCCTCCCGCCAAATACTTTACTTACTTTACTTTACTTCGGCTATCTCCTACGGGAGGATGAGCCGGCTTCATGAACGTCTCGAATCATCGCTGCCCAGGAGCGGCAATTTATAAGAGAGTTCATGAAGTTTCATGGGAATTTGGTACGAGTGAGGTCCCCAGAATCGCTCGGCCTTTTGTTTGAGAGTGCAGCTCTAGCCTTTACACAGCCAAGTGTGACCTACAAGGCAGTAGGAGTGGAGTAAGGAGTCCACTATCCATTGGCAGCCGGTGACCGGAGTTCGGTTCATACGCCTTTTTGAATGGGGCCAGACATCCAGGACATCCAACAAGCCCTTTGTCCATACGTCTGCCGGTGAGCTCCAGTGAGCTTCATACGCCAGTCGTTGGAGGTTTGGAATCAGGGTTTAGCCATCTCCCCTAGACTGTCATCCAATGGACAGTCAACCCGGTGAAGAGCGCCGGGCATCCGCTTTTGCCCTCTCACTTTGGTGAGAAACACCTCCGCCACGTGAAGGCAGTGAGTAGGACTTCCTCAGGAGAGGCTATGTAAGACGCCCGGTCATATGGGAGCATTTCAGGTGTGCGGAGGGGTGGCCAACCCGCAGCGCAAGGCACCCACCCCCGACCATCCTGAGGCTTCCCATCCCGCCAAATGCCAGATGATGTTACAGGACTGGACTACACCGACTCCTAGATTAGAAATAGGAAGTGAAGTGGTAGAGCACGTTGAGCGCTTCACTTATTTGGAAAGTACCATCAGTCAGTACCAACGGGTTGATCTCTGACGAAATCCCAGTACGGATACAGAGGGCTAGTTTCTCATTTGCCAGTTTACGCCGTCTCTGGCGTAGACGAGATATCCGACTATCGACCAAAGGGCGGGTGTGCTGCTCATCAGTCCGCTCCCTCCTCCTTTATGGCTGTGAGTGAAACATGGCCATTGAGAGTGGAAGACATGAAAAGCCTGGCTAGCTGTCTTTGATGATAGGTGCCTGCGTTCTATCTCCCGTGTGAAGGTTGTGAAGTTACATCGACTGAGGCGGTTAGGACATGTGTAACGTATGCACGCCTAGTCATCGCTTTCCTCGATAAGCAATGTTAGCGGATATAGGATCAGGCTGGAAAAAAGCTAGCGGAGGTCAAACAAAAACATGGAACCAGTCAATGAAATCTACAACAGTTAGTCTAGGCCAGCCACGTAGGAAGGTGTAGACTGGCTTCCTGTTTGGGGTCCTCGGGACGGTAAAAACCAATGGTTGGAAACAATTGGTGACATGGTATTAGATGGTTGGAGGCAATCGGCCACAGGAAGCCTTGGACCTAGGTTTCGTGCTAGTTGGCACCCGTCAGCAAGGCGTATCTGCAACCTTGAAGGAACTCATGTCCCTTCTGATATTCGAACCCGCGTCACCCAGTAAAGCCTGCAGTCAGAGACGTTACAACTGAGCTATTCGGGCCGTCGATTGACCTCCTGTAGGACTGTAGTGGATATTTTGATTTGACACCAGTAACTAGTTTAATGCGTCTAGTCCTTTTGATCGTAGACTGAATTCCATCAGTCAGGTTGTAATGTGACCACCATTCTAGCTAGCTGGCCATCACGGTGCACATTGATTTGATGGTGTTAGATGGTTGGAGGCAATCGGCAGAAATCAGTTCAATCACGGGCCCGAATAGCTCAGTGGTAACGTCTCTGACTGCAGGCTTCACTGGGTGACGCGGGTTCGAATATCAGAAGGGACATGAGTTCCTTCAAGGTTGCAGATACGCCTTGCTGACGGCTGCCAACTAGCACGAAACCTAGATCCAAGGCTTCCTGTGGCCGATTGCCTCCAACCATCTAATACCATCAAATCAATGTGCACCGTGATGGCGAGCTAGCTAGAATGGTGGTCACATTACAACCTGACCGATGGAATTCAGTCTACACCAATCAGAGGACTAGACGCATCACACTAGTTACTAGTGTCGAATCAAAATTGGTGACATGGCTCAAAGTCGTTCTCATTGGCTAGCGCAGATGCATCCACTCCTTGTGACTTATGATTTCCAGTGATGAAACTATATTGTTCTTCGTTATTACTATTCCTTTGTCTCACACCTCTGTTTACTGTCTCTCTCTATTATGCATTTGCTCTACTTTCTTCTGTTGCTTGTTACAAGGAGGGTGTGTGGCGACTTGAACTGCCACACTTTTGTGCAAAGTACTATGTCGAAAACAGACAGGTTCACGGAACCAAACCACAACCCATCAACCAAGGTAAGAGCAGCTAGGTAGTATTACCAGTCATCGCACAATTGGTGTGGCTCAAGCCAACTGAGCCAAACTCCCACTTTGGCATACTACGTGACGGACTTTAAAAGTCTTATATAAAAAACATTGACTTTTAGTTACTATCCTCTTCATCATGAAGTGAAAAATTGGCATAATAAAAACTTGGAAAAAATGCCTCAGATGAATGAATAATTCAACGAAGCTGTCTAGAATCCACGAGCTCGATAGTTAAGCAGTATACTGACCACCAACCACACCACACGTGGTCTGGATTTAAATCCCCGGCCAACAATGTACTCCTAAACCTCGCTAAGCTGGTAAAGAGAGAAGGGTGGAGCGTGAGGCTAAGAATCTTACCCCGCCCCAAGCTTGAAGTCCTTCGCTCGACTTGGCACGTATAAGAATTAAATAAATAATATCTTGAATCCATATTAGGATACAAAGTGAATACACGTGTAACCTGGAAATTACCACTCATGACCTATAATTCAAACTATCGATTTCCAAGAACTTTAATTAGGGAAAAAGTGACGTATTATCCTTGAAACATCATCCAATTATTCGTAAAGCATCACTGCGTGTTACAAAAACGAAATCATACATAAAGCTGCAAGCACATCGGTCTAGGCATCCATTCCAACTGCCAAAGACTGAGGTTCATGAGGTTTGAACAACAGTTCGCCTACCAAGGGGCTTGGGTAACTAGCTAATATCATCAGTTTTCATATGACAGCCGAGGATGATCACTGCCAAATAAATAAAAATCTAAGCTGATACAATCCAACTAATCTACAAATTACCGACGAATGAGTAATACCCTCGACTAATACACCAGTTAACGACCAGAGTGACATGAAAACAAAGTTGAAAACTATTATTATTATTGATATGAAAAATATCAATAACAACATGGAGAAGATTTGGCTTACTTGTAAAATATATTACCAAACTGTTTACGTATAAATGCACGTAATCCAAGAAATTTGCCATAAATACGATGAAGAATTGTTTTAACAAGATCACGTTCACGCGGATCTTCACTATCGAATAATTCTAAGAACTAGTAGGAATTAAAAAAACATGATAAGAAGAATATTATATATTAAAAGTTGATTATTAATATTACTATTATTTATTCATTCGAAGATTCACATCACTCTGTCTACGATGCGGCGTAGGTCAACATGATGGCTGACGCTAATAAAACCGTATGAAACCATAACGAAACCAACGTTCAACAGTTAATCACATTAACTAACGGCTATCAGAATAAATATATAATTCACCTACGGAGAACTCACAGCGTTAGATCTAAACATGCTGCCTATATGGACTAGAAGAGCCTACTAAATAAAACCTTCAGCTCAGAGGACACAACAAAACAAAATACAGTCATTCCAGCCACCAATCTTGTCCAATGTTTCGCGGGCTAACCTAAATGGTTTGATATCCTAAATGTAACATGGTTGCTGTCAGCGGCGAAAACACTGCGAATAAGAAGGTTAACTGACAGAATGATTTCAACGTAGAACTTAGCAAAGATGTGCACAAGTTCAACTTTTCACTCTCTCTCTCTCTCTCTCCATGTATCACATAAAGCAAGACAAGAGTGAAGTGAGAGTAAAAAGACAGATAATAAACACAAACGTGAGTATATGCTCAATAATGGCGCTCCTTATTGCTCCATTGTTACCTTTCCGTAGCCAGGCGGGATAGTGTTCTTGAACTCTTTTAGATAAAACTCGCATCGAACGACCTATATACCTCGCTCCCCAAGAGCAGGTGAATTGGTAGATACACATGGAAGTGGTCAAATGCGATAGTTTATCTTTAGAGTAGTTGAAGAACAATGGCCGGGAGGAAAATGTCAGTCGTAGTGTGGCAGCGAAGAATGTCCTTCTTAGAGCAGTAGATATCCTCTTCTTCAAGGTGTCAGCCAGAAGGTCACCTTTGAAGGGTACATTCATGTAGACCATCTTCTTCTGCACTGCATTTGACCACTTCCATGTGTATCTACCAATTCACCTGCTCTTGCGGAACGAGGTATATAGGTCGTTCGATGCGAGTTTTATCTAAAAGAGTTCAAGAACACTATCCCGCCTGGCTACGGAAAGGTAACAATGGAACAAACGTGAGTGACGGAAAAAGACTAGTAGTAATATGCAAGAAGAACAATAGAGTTCTATCGGATATGATAAATCATCTCACAAAGAGTCAATGCATCTGCACCAGAACGATTTCCAGCCATATCACCAATCGTCTATCTCTAGCCTCCATTGGTTCTTACCATCATCCCAAAGAACCCAACCAGCCAATCAGACAAGTAGTCTACACTTCCCTACGTGGCTGGCCGGCTGGCTAGCTAGATAGCTGGTTTAAAAGGACTGTTATGGCTTTCACTGACTGATGAAGTCATGGTGATTTTGCTTACACTACCTAGGCTAACTCTTCGCCAACCTCATCAATCCTATGTCAGTTAACATTGACTATCGGTCGACGAAGGTGATCGATGGCTAGGAATGCATTCGTGACACATGTCCTAACCATCTCACTCAATCCAAGCAACATCCATAAATGAACGTGTCTTGTTCACAGTCAGTCACAAAGGAGGACGGGGCGAACTGCTGCTGTGCAATGCACAAGTCCTTTGATCGGTAACTGGCCGGTGGGATTTCACGTCTACTACGCCAAAGATGGCGTAAGTTGGTAAGTGCCAAACGAGGCTTCTGTATCCGAGATGAGATGTCAACAATTAACGCTCTGGTGCCAGCTGATGCAACTTTCCACGGAAATAATTGAAGTGGTTAACACGCTCAGCAACCACCTCACTCCCGCCTGTATTTAAGCTAGAAATGATTCGATGTAGTTCAGTCGTGCAGCATCAACAGGAGAGAATCGCATGCTAAACATTCGAAAACTGCTGCTCCTCAATGTGTTCAGAAGACTGAGCGTTTTGTCAGTGTCTTCTCGCAGGAGGGAGGACTTTATCATCGGCATATTCTAAGCCAACAATATTATTCCCTGGTAACAGATTATTCACTGAGTCGCAGGACTTGTCTGATGGACACTACTGGTTGTCCCTACTTCATATGGGAACTCTTTGTACACTCACACACAGCTATGTGATTTCGAGTACAATGCTTTCATCAAAGCGTCGTATCCTCTCGGAATTCCCTTCAGGGCCGAACATTGACATCGTAACTATAGATCGATGGAATGGTAGTGAAAAGAATAACACTACAGGGTACCACTCATTGGTAGCTTTTAGATAGTATTTGTGACTATTGAAACACACAGTTCGCACAAGTGCGTCAGTGGCACAGTGGTTAGGACTCTCGCCGACCATGAACATGGTCCGAGGTTCGATCCCCTGCCGACGCACACCTGATATCACTTGGTTGACCTGCAAAATTTGGGCTACCGATATCACATGCTGAAAATTCCATACCTGTATCAGAAATTACGGTGTGGAATCAAGCAGTAATCAAAAATAGAAAGTATTAGTTAATACAACTGTGGCACCGAGTGCACCACCAATCAGACAAATTGGAAATGTCTTATAGAATACAGAACGTAATCGACGGTCTGTCTGTCCGGATTCAACATAGAACTTCCCACCCAAGTGCAGAACTTCGAGTTGCCAAGTTCCAAATACCACACAAAGGTAGACAATAACATGAGTGAAGAGAATCAAAAGAGTTTGACAGATATAATAGTGAAACAGAATGGGTAATGGTAGAAAGGTATATGAAAGATTACAGAGACTAAATACATCTTCGCTGGCCATTGACAACGATTTTGAGCCATGTCACCTATTGTCTCCAGCCATTGATTCCTAGAGTCAGTCCCGAGGGCCCCAACCCGAAAGCATCTCCCTCCCTCAGTTTAACTGTCAAGGATTTCATGGATTGATGGCATGTTTTTGTTTGGCCACCACTCACTCTTTTCCAACCTGCACCTATATCAGCTAGTAATGCCCGTCGGGGGGAGGCGATGGTTAGGCATGCGCACCACGTCACCTAGCCATCTCTATATCTATGTAACTTTATAGCCTCGTCGATTGATTTTCCCTCTTTGCCCAACACTCTACGCCTAACGTCAACATTACTTACCTTATTATACCACACCTAACGTGAGAAAGAGATCGCAGACATCTATGATCGAAAACAGTCAACCTTTTCATGTCTTCAACTCGTATTGGCCATGTTTCAGAGCCATAGACAAGGACGGAGCGAACTGCATGAGCAGTACACACGTCCCTTGGTTGATAGCCAACCGGATGTCACGCCTACGCCAGAGATGGTGTAAGTCAGCGAAAGCAGCTCGAGCTTTTCGGATCCGTGCTGAGATTTCGTCGCCAATCAGTCCGTTGGTGCTGATACAACTTCCCAAATAGGTGAAGTGGTCAACATGTTCTATCACTTCACTCCCTATCACTAAGCTAGGAGTTGACGTAGTCCAGTCCTGTAGCAGCATCTTACATTTTGTAGGGGCGAATCGCATGCCAAACATACGAAGATTGCTGCTCAAGGTGTTCAGAAGACTCTGCATTTTGTCAGAATCCTCCCCTAACAGGACTATGTCATCTGCATATTCTAAGTCCATAAGACTATTCCCTGGTAACAAGTCGATTCCTAAGTCGTTACGTTCAGTTAAGGATACTTCCATTAGCATATCTATGATGAAGTTAAACAGAAATGGGGAGAGTGGACATCCCTGTCGGACACTAGTTGTTATCAATTCAGATGACAATTCCCCATAAGCCCTTACACGACTACGTGAGTTTGAATAGAGTGCCTTGATTAGTGCAATGTACTTTCTTGGCACTCCCTTCACAGTCAAACATTGCCATAGTACCTTTCGATCCACGGAGTCGAAGGCCGCCTTCAAGTCAAGAAATATGGCAATTGTTGGACGCCGAAAAGTGTGTCTATGTTCTAGAATCTGTCGAAGAGTGAAGATATGATCTATACACCCTCTACCTGGTCTAAAGCCTGCTTGATTTTCCCTCGTCTGTTCCTCCCGAGTTCTGCTTAGTCTGTGCATGATTACTGAGCCTAGGATTTTAGAAACTATGTTCGTTAGGCTGATCCCCCTATGATTATCACACGAGGACTTGTTTCCCTTCTTGAATATCGGTATAATAAGTGACTTACCCCAGTCTGATGGAACTGTCTCTGATTCCCAGACTTTGCCTAGTACCTCAGTTAATCTACAAACTAGTATGTCACCCCCATATTTAAACACCTCCGGAATAATTCCGTCGGGTCCTGCCGCTTTGCCTCGTTTCAAATTACAGATAGCTTTTGTCACCTCACTTACAGACGCCGGACCAGTGTCTATATCCCGTTCGGGTGTGTGCTGGATGACGAGGAGGTTCAGTGTGGCTATAGGCAAGTTAAATTGTTCCTCAAAGTATTCGACGGTGGTCACACTAGCCTTTGCAATAGTGACAATTGAGCTACACATACTGCAGGGAAAGATTCGGACCGATAATCACAGCTGATTGTTCGTGATCATATACGAAATCCTCAATAATCGTTCATAATTATTTTCATAGAGACGTGATGCATGGTCAAGCTTTACCAGCTCTGTTTTCGATTACAGCAAAAATAGATTGAAAAATTTTATAATCGGATCGAAGGATTATGCAAATTATTAAAATTGTCATCAGAAAACTCAATGAAAAAAAGAGAGATCAAGAGAGACAAAAAGAAGCAGCAAAAGAAGAAGAAGAAGATTAATCGTTTGACCTGCAGTGAACTCTGATCACTTCAACAATAACAACAAAAAAGAGCTTAAAAAGAGAAAGAGAAAAAAAATCGAAGACAGATATACATGTGAACATAATTACTGCGAGATCGATAAAAAAAAGGCGGTGTACAAGTTCACAAGTGAACTTGATAACTGATAGGCTTTTCTTTAATTCACAATCATTTTCTCGTATGCATCACTAATTAGGAGGAAGTTTACAAGGCTAACTTGGAATGAATGGAATGTGTTTCAGAGTATAACTGGTAAGCCAATTCCAAGTACTTACACACACACACAAACAATCAATCAATCAATATAGTTCTTACTAGCATCATACTAACAAACTTTCACAGGCTGTAACTCCTGATAATTACTATCCTCCACGTCATTCTTCGGAGATAGATTTGATAAAAACATATATACTAACCGATATAAATAAAAGAACTATGAAGAAGGCACTGCCAACTATTACTTTTCAAAATTTATAATAGTGACACACACTGCTCAGAATCTTAAAATGAGCTTTAAATGTATTGAACTCATAATTAATATCTTCTTCTAAAATACCGTCTTATTACTTTTAACCATCTATGTGATTAACTGGGTGTTCCCTGCTAACGAACCGACAATAGTGATCGTCTTCGAAAGTTCTCTTCAGATGTTTATCTACTTCTAGTCAGTACTAACTTCAGGTGCACACAAAGACATTGCCCAACCTGGAGACCTCCAGCTTACGCCATCTCTGCCTTAGTAGACGTGATATCCGGCTAGCCAGTTATCGATCAAAAGAATTGTACATTGCACAGAAGCAGTTCGTCACGTCCCCCTTTGTGACTGGCTGTGAACGAGACACGGCCATTCAGAGTGGAAGACATGGAAAACCTGTTCGTCTAGCTGTTTTTCATTATAGGTGTCGGCCTTCTCTCGCCAGTGTTGGTTGGTGGTAGGTGCTATAATAGGGTGAGTAACATTGAGGTAAAACTTCAGTCGACTGCTAGTTAAGAAGGGAGGGGAAATCAATCGACGAGGTTGTGAAGCAGGTTCATGGATTGAGTGAGATGCTTCAGACATGTGTTATGCATGCATCCCTAGCCATCGATCACCTTCGTCGACCGATAGTCAATGTTAACTGACATAGGATTGATGAGGTTGACGAAGAGTTAGCCTAGGTAGTGTAAGCAAAATCACCATGACTTCATCAGTCAGTGAAAGCCATAACAGTCCTTTTAAACCAGCTATCTAGCTAGCCAGCTGGCCAGCCACGTAGGGAAGTGTAGACTACTTGTCTGATTGGCTGGTTGGGTTCTTCGGGATGATGGTAAGAACCAATGAAGGCTAGAGACAGATTTCGTACTTGTTGGCACTCACAAGTCAACAGGGAGTATCTGCGACCTTAAAGGAAGTCATGTCCACTCTGAGACTCGAACCGGCGTCACCACCTAGTGGTGCCTTTACAGGCATTACCACTGACCTGGCTGTTCGCACTCACTATTGCCATGTTGTATGATTATATTGGATACTATGGTTAGACACTGATTGATACCCACAACAACATCAAAGAACTAGTTTTTAACATACTTGAGGAGACCCACTAGATAGCCCATCCCCCCACCCAAATTCAGAACAACAGCCAAAGACTTCATAGGCTGATACTATTGTGGTGAGAGCAGGCTGCTAGCCGATTGGTTGGCACTAATCTACGTTAAGGTCTAGGTCACTAATATGGGCCGTGAGAAAATATGAACAAGCCTGAGTCAACAACCAATCACAGCAAAGTTAACGTGGCAAAATATGATTCGCATTTGTCAAGGAATCCCGAAACAACCAATCAGAAGCCTGCGTTTGTCTACCTAAACAACCAATCAGATGACTGCGCTTGTCTGTAATAATGTTGTCTGAAATATGTATAAATACGTGTCGATTTTCATAATAAAACGATCTGTTGCCTGGCCCTTGTCTTCTGTTGCTACATTTGGTGTCGCTGCCTACCGACAAATGAAAAGCCTATACCCTGCAGTTTTTGATGGAGACATATGGATCTTCGGGCAGGACTTCAAGGCTTCTGCGCAGTTGAGTGGCGTTCAAGATCTGTCAGCGATGGAGCTGCTACTTGAGACGCTGCTGGGAGGTCGGGCGAAAGCAGCATATGAAGGTGTGGGCCGAAGTATGGACGAATGTTCGACAGGGTCAGGCAAACAGTTTCCAAAGTGGGAAGGACCATATATGGTCACTTCGAGATGGGGTTACGCAGACACAGTCGCAATGGCGAACAATAAGAGGCGCGTGAACGTCAGCGAGCTCCAGAAACGGATACAGCGAGACAAGCCAACGATGACGCCTGCACCAAGTAGATCAAGCCGACTTCAGTCGCACGTATTTGACGGGGGGACGAGTGTGGTGAGAGCAGGCTGCTAGCCGATTGGTTGGCACTAATCTACGTTAAGGTCTAGGTCACTAATATGGGCCGTGAGAAAATATGAACAAGCCTGAGTCAACAACCAATCACAGCAAAGTTAACGTGGCAAAATATGATTCGCATTTGTCAAGGAATCCCGAAACAACCAATCAGAAGCCTGCGTTTGTCTACCTAAACAACCAATCAGATGACTGCGCTTGTCTGTAATAATGTTGTCTGAAATATGTATAAATACGTGTCGATTTTCATAATAAAACGATCTGTTGCCTGGCCCTTGTCTTCTGTTGTTACACTATGTGTTTGTATGGCCACTGTACGCCTAACTTCATTATTACTCATCAGACTATACCAATTAATACGATAGATGAAACATGAAGAATATGTAAGCTGATAGACAACCAGCCTCTTCAAATATTCCTCTTTTCAACAGCCATGTCTCACAGGCGTAAAAAAGGATGGAGGCAGCCCCAACTGATGTCTCTAATGGCAAACAACGAAAAATGAGACAGACAAAATATTCTCGTCAACTTTTAAAACTTCAATAATCATAATATACATATATATTAACATAATACATTCACTATACTGAAATAGACAAGTTGTGTTAAAAAGAATACGACTTTACCTGTAATACAAATTTAGTATCGAAATAACGTTTAGCAACATTTGGCTGGAAATTAGGCGATTCAATGAAACGAAGAAGGAATTCATATACCAACTAGTAATATATAAACAAAAAATATATATATTAAAAATAAACAAGCACAATAAAACATATTGATTTAGTTGAATAGCAATACAGATAAAATTATGATGGGTAATCACGATCGTGATTATAATAATAATCATAACGGTAATAAAGAAATACTTTGAGATGCACAAATTATAAACTACTTATAAAAATTTCAGTATTGGTATACACTGATACTCGCAGGTAAAAGCAAATGCTTGATAGTTGAAAGAGCTCAGTTATCGTAAACAGACCGTTATATTATTATTATTTTATTCCTTTACGTTCCAAGTGGAACATATGACTTCAAGCTGGAGCTCTAAGGTTTCTGTAACAATACTTTACTTTACTTTACTTCGGCTATCTCCTACGGGAGGATGAGCCGGCTTCATGAACGTCTCGAATCATCGCTGCCCAGGCGCGGCAATTTGTAAGAGAGTTCATGAAGTTTCATGGGAATTTGGTACGAGTGATGTCCCCAGAATCGCTCGGCCTTTGTTTGAGAGTGCAGCTCTAGCCTTTACACAGCCAAGTGTGACCTACAAGGCAGTAGGAGTGGAGTAAGGAGTCCACTATCCATTGGCAGCCGGTGACCGGAGTTCGGTTCATACGCCTTTTTGAATGGGGCCAGACATCCAGGACATCCAACAAGCCCTTTGTCCATACGTCTGCCGGTGAGCTCCAGTGAGCTTCATACGCCAGTCGTTGGAGGTTTGGAATCAGGGTTTAGCCATCTCCCCTAGACTGTCATCCAATGGACAGTCAACCCGGTGAAGAGCGCCGGGCATCCGCTTTTGCCCTCTCACTTCGGTGAAAAACACCTCCGCCACGTGAAGGCAGTGAGTAGGACTTCCTCAGGAGAGGCTATGTAAGACGCACGGTCATATGGGAGCATTTCAAGAGGTGTACGGAGGGGTGGCTAGCCCGCAGCGCAAGACACCCACCCCCGACCATCCTGAGGCTTTGTAACAATGCGTCGGTGGCACAGTGGTTAGGACTCTCGCCGACCATGCACACGGTCCGGAGTTCGAGCCCACGCCGATGCACACCTGATATCTATGGTCGGCCTGTAAATTTTGAGCTACCGATATCCACGCTGAAAATTCCATACTTGTACCAAAAATATGGTGTGGAATCAAGCTGTAGTCAAAAATAAAAAAAATAAAAGATGGTTTTATTTTTAATGGGTACGGTTGATAGCTTCACACCCAACCTTCCCTGTCTATCAGATCAACTACCGTCTAGGCGAGGGTTAGGATCGAACCGCGGACCTTATGTGTGGTGGACGCGGATTCTAACGTTGCACCACTGATGCACACTGCAGACTATAAGCCGTAGTTATTGATACTACCACCCAATTAGTTGTCTTGGATGAAGTAGATGGAGCGGGTATCCTACCCTCCCCCCCCGCAGACCTATTGGTTAAAAGTCGCGTACTTATGAAGCCAATAAGCCACACTCCTCCTCCAACAGAAGTAAGTTCTTTTCTGTTCTGTTTTCGACATATAACTTCGCACCCGATGTGCGGAAGTTCAAGTCGCCACACTCCCTCCATATACCACACAAAGCAAGAGAAGAAAGTAGAAGAAATGCATACTAGAGACAAAAAAAATAGTAGTAACGAAGAACAAAACAGTTTCATTAGAAATCGTAAGTCACAGGGAATGGATGCATCTGCGCTAGCCATTGAGAACGATTTTGAGCCATGTCACCAATTGTTTCCAACCTGCATTGGTTTTTACCGTCCCAGGGACCTCAACCAGGTAGCCACTCGACACCATCCTACGTGGCTTAGACTAACTGTTGTAGATTTCATTCACTGGTGCCATGTTTTTGTTTGACCTCCACTAGCTCTTTTCTAGCCTGACCCTACATCAGCTAACATCTTCCATCGGTCAAGGAAGGCGATGACTAGAATACATGTGTAACACATGTCCTAACCATCTCAGTCGATGTAGCTTCACAGCCTCGTCGATTGATTTCCCCCACCTTACGTAAAACTCGACGCCTAACCTCAATATTGCTCACCTTATTATACCACTTCACAAGGTCTGTCTGTTTTCGACATAGAACTTTGCACAAATGTGCGGAAGTTCAAGTCGCCACATTCCGTGTAGCACGCGAAGCAAGAGAAGAAAGTACAAGAAAAGCATAATAGAAACAGTGAGCAGAGATGTGAGACAAAGGAGTAATAAAGAAATACAAAACAGTTTCATTGAAGATCATAAGTCACAGGGAGTGGATGACTTCACAAGGTAGATAGAGAGCAGGCACCTATGATCAAAGACAGCTAATCTTTTCATGTATTCCACTCTCAGTGGCCAGGTCTCACAGCTGGCCATAAAGGAGGAGGGAGCGGACTGATGAGCAGTACACCCGCCCTTTGGTCGATAGTCGGATATCTCGTCTACGCCAGAGACGGTGTAAACTGGCAAATGAGAAACTAGCCCTCTGTATCCGTGCTACAGAAGTAAGTGGTAGAAGTGTACCAACGCGTAGATTTCTCCCTGTTGAATTGTGGCTAATCAACCTATACACTTGATTTTGAAGCAATCCTTTAAGGATAAAGAACTCAAACCATGTCATAATGTATGCGCAGATGATATAATTCACTAATATATGTATAGAATTAGGACACTCTGATAGTATGTATTTCCGTATTAAAATTAGTATGACTAGTAGTTTAATGTACAGAGCTGAGTATATTTGTTGCCAAGATGCATTCTTCAGTACACCTTTCGTACATCGATAACAAAGTCCTTGGATCCTCTATTTTTTTACTCTTTGACTTTTCAGTAGAAAATAGGGCTACACTACGGTGGCCAGCTTAAAACTTGTTCATTTTGTTTCAATCTGTTAAAATATGACCACTGATTGTACTTTTTATACTCTTGCAAGTATTTGAAATATCTGCAACTTACTGATTCACAAGTTGGCATTAAACTTCAGAAAGAAAGAAAAAAGCCGTAAGTAGCAATGTATTCCAATAACACTTTCTGAGATTGTTTTTAGTACAAACTGCCACTACCTGAGAAATAAAACTAACTAACTAACTACTTGAAGTCTTCAGGATTCAGTTATGTCCTTGCGGGCGAGGGGTCACAGAATATGTGCTTTCAAATAAACGTCGAGAATTTTGCGGAAACAAAGATAAGTTTATGCTTCAGATCAGACAATACATTGTGTCGCCTGATCGATTGTCACTCATTCATGGGTAAATTTTTGTTTTGATAAAGTCTCACAGTGTTATACAGTAATCTTTACTGATGACCCCGTTTCGAGCACAATTTATTGCCAATCATAATCATATCAAGGTAATCACACGACTTTCCAACTTCATTTATATAGTTCCTACACAGCTTGTCCTGTCTGAGTGAGTTTGTAGGTTTAAATGCCACCAGCCTAATTCCTGCTTTGTTTAGAATCCTACGTAGGGAGCGTCTCAGATGTCCCCTCTTTACATGGTATAACTGTAGATGACTTATATTCTCTCTTATTTATGTTATTATTACTAGTTTCACAATTATTTTTATTTTTCGTTTGGCCTTTTCCAATCTTCCTAATGAATTTTAAAGGAGAGTTATTTAACACCAACGCTTCTTCTATCTGTTTTAGTTCATCATTTAGGTCTTTTCTTGTCTACACCAAACACATGCCATAGGAATGAGTCATCACTCATACCTGAAATATGGAAAATACTATTACCAATCAAATCAAGTGAAAAATAATGGAACTATATAAATGAAGTTGGAAAGTCGTGTGATTATCTTGATATGATTATGATTGACAATAAATTGTGCTCGAAACGGGGTCATCAGTAAAGATTACTGTATAACACTGTGAGACTTTATCAAAACAAAAATTTACCCATAATGGAATTACACTCTACCACAGTGCACAAGTTTTATTCTTATATCAATGTCACTCACTCACTTATTATTCTATCTGACGACCTTACAGAAAGAGAAATTGTTGCTCGATAAATTCTGCTGAAAATTCTCTACACTATATCAACACTGTAGTACTAGTACTACTAATTGAAGTTCCAGTGGTTGTATAGAGTTGCTTTCACGAAGTGATGTTTGTAGACTCATGCCAGACCATGAAATATTACCGGGTTAAACGAACTCTTTGAAGTGAGGTAGACGTTGCCTAGCAAAGGACAACCAGTTCTACTGCTTAAAATTTTACGCAGTTTTCTGCAGATATAGACACCTTACCAACAAAATTCTGCTTAGTTACAGGATTTTATCACGAGCTGACATCGTTTAGAAAACCACTGGAAAACCTGGAAGTACCGGATAGCTGTTTCGTCCTGGTTTCGGACTCGTCATCACCAAAGAGGTTCTGGTTGCAAAGCTAGCGAGCTCGTACACCATTAAGCCACTGAGACCCAATCCAACGGCCCATGAATTCCAACCTCTGTCAAGTCACGACATAGAGCGACCACCAACTAATGTCTTCAGAAAGTATTTGTCCTCATGCCCCACCTGCTACTTAAATTCTGCGTAAATTCTTTATCTAATTTGTTTTCTATGTGCGTCGGTGGCACATTGGTTAGGACTCTCGCCGACCATGCACATGGTCCGAGGTTCGATCCCCTGCCGACGCACACCTGATATTTATGATCGGCCTGCAAAATTTGGGCTACCGACATCACATGGTGAAAACTCCATACTTGTACCAAAAGTACGGTGTGGAATCAAGCTGTAATCAAAAATAAAAATTAAAAATTCTGTGATAGAGGATTAACTGGTTTTCTCTACACGTCATCGTTTCAAACGACAGTTCCATTGGCATCTGTATTTACATTGGAGAAAACAAACTTATTACACTTAGGGAACCATGAAGACCACGAGAGAAAAACTCATATATATATCCGTATAAAAAAAGAGTACAAGTAAAGTAGTAAACTGGAAATTTTAAAAATATTTACTACTTCTATACGATTCAGTAATAAAACAAAGAGCTGTAGCCAGCAGGGATTTCGATTTTGAACACTCTCTGATAACCATTCCAGACCATAAAATTTGTCAAATATCAGACCGTCCCCCCCCACACACACACACCCAACAAGTAAAGTTACAATGCACAAACAAAATGGTAATTCAGTGATTCTCACTTGAAGGAAGCTTTATTTTAAACGAAAAATAACCAGTAGAGCTTAAGCTGAGAAATACTCACAAGACAAGTATTACAATAACGCCAAGCATGATAGATTTCCATGGGGATGTAGAATTCATTCAAAACAGAAAAATAAGTGCGTTGGTGGCACAGTAGTTGGGACGCTCGCCGACTATGCACATGGTCCAGCGGTCGCTCCCCGGCCGCCAACACACTCCTTCCTTTACCTCGCTAAGCCAAAAATAATGCTGGTAAAGAGGAAAGGTTGGGCATGAGGCTAGCAACCCCATCCAGTAAAAATAAACACCACTGCTACAGAAACTTCAAGCCACTAGCTTGAGGCCCTATGTTCCACTGGGAACGTGAAGGAAAAAAAAGACAAGTCTGGATAGAGTTTATATCTTGAAAATTTGATGTTGTATTTGCGTAATACACATGACCTTCCACAGTTTTTTTCCTTTTTTTCATATAGTGAATTGACAAGTAAATGTGTGTGTGTGTGTGTGATTAGATTGGTTGAAGTCTACTGCGCAGATATATTTCTTTTTTCAGATATACTTCCTCTTTTAATAACGATCAATATTCGAATTTATTAGACAGACTAATTGCTTTAAATTTTAGAAATATAGGTATCTACGCGAGATTACCGAACATGATGCAGTAGATGCATTCAACGCGACCGATATCTGTTGCCTTGTTGAAGTGGTAGGGCTCGCGCATATTGTGCAATGACCCAAAAGCTACACTGGCTGGATCGAATGCTGTTGCAAGTCCAATCATGCTAGAAACGTTGTCTGGATAACGGTCAGACTGGTGTGTAAGACCCTTCCACTAAGTTGGGTGTCTGACTGTGAATTCATAAAGCTGGTAAGGTACTTCCTTCAGGCGACTAACAAGCAGGCGGGGTGTACTACCTATCTGATTTTGGGAGGAAGAGCTTAAAGTCAACAAAGAATAATTGTACATCCTGACTGACCCTACGATGACCACAAGGTCTCCATAAAGACATAACACCAAAAACCACTTCATTTTCAGAAGGATTCTAGATCGGGGTCATCTAATCGAGGCTAGAGTTTAAGGTCCATTTCATAGCTGGCAGAATGCTAACTAACAATTCAATAACAATCGTTACATATGTTACCCTTGAAAAGTAAAAAGAACTGGCATGTGTGAGCATTAATGAACGTATAATGCGAGTATGTCGAAATCAGCTCAAGTATGCACTGATAAATACTCCTTCTGTCTGTGTTTGTCTGTCTGGATTCAACATAGAACTTCCCACCCAAGTGCAGAACTTCGAGTTGCCAAGTTCCAAATACCACACAAAGGTAGACAATAACATGAGTGAAGAGAATCAATAGAGTTTAACAAGTATAAGAGTGAAACAGAATGGGTAATGGTAGAAAGGAATATGAAAAGTTTACAGAGACTGAATACATCTTCGCCGGCCATTGACAACGATTTCGAGCCATGTCACCTATTGTCTCCAGCCATTGATTCTTAGAGTTAGTCCCGAGGGCCCCAACCCGGAAGTCTGCATCTCCCTCCCTACCTGACTCAGTTTAACTCTCAAGGATTTCATGGATTGATGGCATGTTTTTGTTTGGCCACCACCACCACTTACTCTTTTCCAACCTGCACCTATATCAACTAGTAATGCCCGTCGGAGGAGGCGATGGTATAAATACTCCTTGAGTTTTTAAAGGCCCAAGTCAATGGAATCAGACTAATACTTTATCTTCCCTATTGTCTACTATCGCCAATGATCTTCCTGATTGCAGAAGATTGGATAATGAGACAGACAACGGGTAATGAGGAAACAGGCATAAAATGGACTCACACGGAAAACAACTTGGAGGATCTGGACTTCGCCAATGATATATGTCTGATTTCCCACAAGCTGGAAGATATGCAAGTCAAAAGCAACAAGCTGGCCATAGAAGAAGCATCAAAGATAGGACTTCAAGTGAACACAGATAAAACAGAGGTGATGAAGATTCCTGACTAACAACAACAGATAACAATCAACCAGCATAAATGGGAGGAACCTGAAAGAAACAACCTCCTTCACCTACCTGGGAAGCATCGCCTTTTCAACTACAGACGGAACTGACGACGATATCAAAGCAAGAATCGGAAAAGTAAGACAAGCTTCCACTACTCTTGAGTCTGTGTGGAGGTCAACATCACTCAACATCAAAAATAAGATCCAGATTTTCAACTCCAATGTGAAGTCAGTCAGTGCTACTCACTATACGGATCAGAGACTTGGCCAGCGCGTCATAAAGAGCATCTCAAACAAACTTCAGACCTTCGTTAACAGTTGTCTTCGCTCAATACTCCGCTCAAGATCAGATGGCCGGCCAGAAAACATCAGCAACAGGGATCTGTGGCAATGAGCGAACCAACTCAGCAGGAACTGATTGTGAAACAAATAGGCAGGAAGAAATGAAGATGGATTGGCTGGTCATACTTTGAGGAAACCATCAAGTGACATCACTAGACAAGTCATTGCTCGGGTGGAACCCGAAAGGGAAGCGGCGAGTTGGTCATCAGTGCAAGGGTGACTTGGAGGAGGTCATGTGAAGAGGAGATAAAAGCATGTGGGCACACTTGGAGCGGGGTGAAAATGTTGGCAGAAAACAGAAGGCAATGGAGATGCGCAGCTGAAGACCTATGTTCCTCCAGGAATTACAGGATATAATAATAATATATAACAGTTATACAAATGCCTCTAATATTCGTCCAACTGCTTACCTGTAAGTGAGGCCATGCAGCTTCTAAAGTTGGCTCATCCTCTTCAGGATCAAATTCTGCACCAGATGGATTACTCGGTGGTGGTAGGGTACGAAAGAGATTTGCTTCTACCATACGCACAACTTCTGGATAGACAGAATCTGTAATTATACCAGAATTCTCAGTTAGGTATTCAGTTAATTCATGCAATGCAGCTCTTTTCACCTCCTTGTCTTTTAGATCACTCAATAAATCAGGGACAAATTCAAATACTACTGAACATTGTTTCAATTTTTGAATGAAAAGATCTTCCCGATTCTCTTGACTGTCAGCATCTAGCAAATGAAAAAAAGAAGCACAAGACATTAAGACAGTTATTCAACATAATACAGTGCGCACCCAAGAAACTAAGCGCCTTAAAGACTATATCTGTTCTGTCTGTTTTCGACATAGAACTTTGCACAAATGTGCGGAAGTTCAAGTCGCCACATTCCGTGTAGCACGAGAAGCAAGAGAAGAAAGTACAAGAAAAGCATAATAGAAACAGTGAGCAGAGGTGTGAGACAAAGGAGTAATAAAGAAATACAAAACAGTTTCATTGGAAATCATAAGTCACAGGGAGTGGATGCATCTGCGCCACTGAGAACGGTTTTGAGCCATGTCACCAATTGTTTCCAACCATAGATTTTTACCGTCCCGAGGACCCCAGCCTGGAAGTCTACACCTTTCTACGTGGCTTAGACCAACTGTTGTGGATTTCATTGACTGATGCCAAGTTTTTGTTTGACCGCCTATATGGATTTGTCAATTCATACTACGGGATGAAGTAGACGCGGTTCACTAGGGACACCTCATGGATTAAAGCAAAACAATATGAAAACTATAAACGTTAAGCCAAAGCTTTAGTCACTTAATAATAGCTTTATTCCATTTAATTATTACAATTACAGAGGTCATAATAGGGCATTTACACTGTTTTTTTCCTTCACGTTCCATGCGGAACATAGGGCTTCAAGCTAGTGGCTTGAAGTTTCTGTAGCAGTGGTGTTTATTATACAGAATGGGGTTGCTAGCCTCATGCCCAACCTTTCCTCTTGACCAACACTATTTCTGGCTTGGCGAGGTAAAGGAGTCGGCTGGGGACCGAACTCCGGACCATGTGCATGGTCGGTGAGCGTCCTAACCGATATGCCACCGGCACACATATTTGCACTGATAATACTGTTCAATATGAACATAAAATTTAAGTGGAAATATTAACAATAATAAACTAATGAAAAAATGAATAAAAAGTGCTGCTCACTTAGCGTTTCCCAGGGAATTAGTAGTGTCATGCCTAACACCTTTCTCATCACAAATAAGGTATTGTGGAGATTTTATACTTAGTCCTCCTAGCATAAAATCGTCTATAGCTGCTTCTAGTTCCACCTGATGAGACAAACCCAAGGAGAGAGTTGAGTGTAGAGAGGATGTTCAGGATCTAACGGGATATTACTTACTAGTTTCTTGCAAGAGTTCATTTGTCTGTCTACAACAGCATTAACAAGTTGATTGAGCAACACCCACCCGCCCTATTGACAGCTTTTTAGTGCCCTTCGCAACCAATATACCTTCTGAAGTATTACTGAGGCTCAGCTGAACGAACACACGAGGAATGTAGAAATCAAGAGTTGAGTCTTCAGAAACGTAGGTCAGTCAGTAGAGTAGACTGTCATATTCCTCAACAGCATAAGTACTCACCATCCACTTCAGCATGTGTTGCCAGACGTGGAGTTGTGCACATCTACAAAGCCACTACTAACTATCGCTCAAAGTTGCATAGGTTATCTTGACTAGAGTTCATGTTACCACGAGAACATGGTGAGAGACACTTAGCGATATGGTTTAAAATTCATCACAGTGGTGTCTAGATGGAGATGCGGATTCACTTCAAAAACAAATTTATTTACCTCTTTTATCGTTTCCCTTGTTTTTATCAATATCCTATGACTACGTACCGCTTCCATTTCCCTACCTTTAACTTGATTTGTAGACTTGAGCAGTAGTGTCCATCAGAGATGCCCATTGTCCCCATTTATGTTTAATTTCATCACAAGTGTACTACTAATGTACCCTAACTGCTAACTTCGGCGACTAAGGGACTGACTTGTTACCACCAGGGCATAATCTCGTTGACTTATAATATGCGGATGACATAGCCCTCCCACTGAAGTTGAAGACGCTGACAAAATGATGAACCTTCTGAACACATTGAGGAGAGGCAGTTTTCGAATGTTAAGCTTGCGATTCGCTCCTGTCAAATATAAGATGATGCTACACGACTGGACTACATCGAATCATTTCTAGCTTAAATACAGGCGGGAGTGAGGTGGTTGCTGAGCGTGTTAACCACTTCAATTATTTCCGTGGAAAGTTGCATCAGCTGGCACCAGAGCGTTAATTGTTGACATCTCATCTCGGATACAGAAGCCCCGTTTGGCACTTACCAGCTTACGCCATCTCTGGCTTAGTAGACGTGATATCCGGCCGGCCAGTTATTGACCGAAGGGCTTGTGCATTGCACAGCAGCAGTTCGCCCCGTCCTCCTTTGTGACTGACTGTGAACGCGACATAACCATTCAAGGTGGAAGACATGAAAAAGCCGGCCGGCTAGCTTTCTTTCGTCATAGGTGTGTGTGCTCCATCTCCCATGTTAGGTGGTATGTGTAACCGGTTAAATAATATTGAGATCAGACTTAGATTGAGTGTTAGGAAAGGAGGAGAAATGGCTTTCATCGTACAGTGCCACCACTCCGCTTTCTCCATCGAGTCCCACGGTTCGTGGACAGCGAGTGGTATGAAAGTCATCGGGATGACGAACGTAGCATATATCAAAGTTACCAAAGCTGTTGCTTTAGGATGACCATACAACGAACTGTAACCTACACTGTGTCCAAACATAAGCTGTCGAACCTCAGAATTACTTTCACAGTGATGCTATCAGACGCGAGCATTTCTACGAAGGCTGCAGCGATTGAGCGCGCACAGTCACTGTACATCAGCTCAGAGAGACGAGGTTTAACAAGCGCAGAGGAAGACCACGCGCCGAAGCCCTCTAAACCCAACGTGTACCAACCCTGGCTTTACTACATGATTACTGACTACATGCGTTGCACCTTCGCCAGCACTCACACTACCTAGTTATACAAACTGCTACAATATACGAGCTACCCAAATCCTATATGATCAGTTGGTGTATATTGTATGTAATTCACGAAAAATACCATCCGGACATGGAAATAAGAACAAACTGTCCAGAGAATTCATTTACCGAAAAAAAAACTTTTCATTGAGCAGCTTTTTCTTGTTTTATTGTATGTAAGTCTGTTATGTCCTTTGCACAATCCTTATGCAAAATACTGTTGCACAGTTCGGCATAAGATTGCGTATAAACTCAAGTGAACTAATAGAGGTATTAGTTTTACCAGTCCTGGCAGCGAAAATAAAATCCTCAACTTTATAACGAACTCCCTGCTGATATACTCCTAAGTGTGTCATACCTAGAGTCACTACTATTTTCACTTGGCCATTTATGAGTTTGAAAATCCTCAGTGAGTTTAGTCCTGTTCTAGGGCCCGTGTTAGCTAAGGATGTGTGTTGACATCGTGAGCAGACAAGTGCGTTTTCAACAAACAACTTTGCACAAAAATGCAGCAATTCCAGTTGCTAGACTCAATACACCACACAAAGGTAGAGAAAAAGAGATAAATCAGAGGACGTATATCGAGAAATATACTGAAGAAAAAATAGTAACATGGAAAAACATGAATGAAAGCATCCAAGAGATTACAAAGAGTGAATGTACCGTTGAGAACAACTTTGAGCTATATCATGAACAGTTTCAAGTCATCGCTTCTTAGTGTATCGACAATTCTAACTAGGCAGTGTACACCTCTCTACTTAGCTTAAACCGACAACCGAAGACTTTATGAACTGATGTCAGGTTTTGATTTGATTACTGTTAACTCTTTTCTAACTAAATCTTATGTCAGATAACACTGATCGTTGAGAAAAACGGTGTCGTTACATGTGTAGCACATGTTAATGTAGTTTCAGAATCTCATCGATTGACTTGCCTTCCTTATCAAACACTACTCAATAATATCAACCATATTATACCACATGCGTCGGTGGCACAGCGGTTAGGACGCTCGCCGACCACATGCACATGGTCCGGGGTTCGATCCCCGAACGACTTACCCCTTTACCTTGCTGAGCCAAAAATAATGCTAGTAAAGAGGAAAGGTTGGGCATGAGGCTAGCAACCCCATCCAGTAAAAATAAACACCACTGCTACAGAAACTTCAAGCCCCTAGCATGAGGCCCTAATGTTCCACTGGGAACGTGAAGGAAAAAAAAGTATGCCACATAACACAAGGTCGAAGACAGCTAGTGTTTTCATGTCTTCAAATTTTAATGGCTATGTCTTACAGCCATAAAGGGCGAAGAGAACTGCTGAGCAGTACACACATACTTCCGTTGATAGCCGGATATCATGTCTACAATACGTAAGTTGGTGAATCCCACACAAGTCTATTGTATCCATAATGAGATTTTATCAAGTCAGTCCAATAGGGTTGATGGAATTAGTCAAATAAGCGAAATGATTAACGCTCTCAACTATTTAACTCTTTAGACAAGCACTTGATTCAAACCATTCCTGTAGCACCACGTTACATTCGACAGGAGTAAATCGTGTGCCAAACACACCCAGATTTCTACTCAAAGTGTTCTTCAGAAGACTTCATTTTGTCACCATGAGTGATCATTGCTATTCTCGTTGGAATGCTGATTGTTATTGGAAGGAAGCACATTCCTCATGTGCACAGCTACGACACACATACATTTTGTGGGGACTCACGGTAATACCAACTCGCCCAAGCTGAAACAGGTGGCGAGAAACTTAAACACAAGACCCACTAGATATTTACACTCGCCCGCTTGCTACAACCCTAGACTGAACTGGAAACATTTAGATCTTTAATTTAACGTTCTCCCTGTTTATCTATCCCGGTACCATAAAAGCGCATGAAAGTAATAAGATGTAGTAAAATTAAGACGAACAAGAACATACGGAGACAAGAATAATTAAATGACTAATGAAGACTTCTGGAAACCGGAAAAGGGTTATGAGTAAATACATCTACGCCTTTGTGAAACATTTAAGACTATCTTAACAGGTTTCGCCAATCGTTAACACATGATAATGTGACCGCAGGCAGTCTACACTTCTCCAAACGGAAATTCCCAGTGACATCTTTAACGGAAAATTCCAAGATGTAATTTACCCAACGAATCTAGGGCAAAATTAATATCAAAAAATAGTGTCAACTTGCGAAATATCTTTCAGTCCTCACAGTCGGTGGAGCGTCAAAACATGAACGATGCATCTACAATCGGAACGAATCCCAGTTTGATCTAAACAAAAAAAATTTCGCATGCTTTCCACAGCCCGCGAAACACAACAGTTGTCAATACTTTTGACACACATGGTATTACGTAGACCCTGCTAAGATTCGCACTATGATAAATTAGTTACACACTGATTGAAAACTAAAACCCCCATGCCTTCAGTAAGCGCGTATCGAGCATTGCCGCAAGGAACACTCCCCGATATTGCAGATGACACGGGGTTTTCCTGTTAACGCTGATAAGACTTTACATGAATACGACGGTCGACGCACTTGACTCTTATACTGCTTAGCTTTAGACCAAGAGAGGACTGAAGCTATGTTTACAACCAGGATAATATTCAAATTTTCCTACTAGGAAACTGATTAACAATGAGCTATAAGCGACAACTGCTCGACGTCTTTTCTCAAATGATTGTTCCCGGAAATTTTCCTATGCTATTGAATAAAACGCGAAGAAACCATAGTGAGGTGTAGGCTATGCATTCAATCAACTAGGCATTAGAACTAAGGAAGATATTTTGCCACGAACATTCATAAGAGTGATAAAATTTCTACCACTAGAACAACTCATGGGACACCTTCGATCACAAAAGCTTTTGAAATAAGGTAAAGTAAAATGATTCACAACAAATCACTCCAGCTTATAAGCATTATCTCTAGTATACTAACTCGTCAGTTTAGCAGACTGGATTCAGCTCACTGTCGCCATGAGAAGCAACTTGGACTACAGACTAATCTACAAATTCTCAGTACAACAACAAGGAGTGGAACAGAAGCACTAAAATCTCTTAGGAAAAATTTGGCCGAATATTTAAACTGCTAGTGTGCGTTATAAAAACTTACGCAAACGATATTACGCATACCTTTAATCAATGGGAGTGGATTTAGCTCACGGCTTTTGGGAGCACCGAAACGAGAAGAGGTCTGGAGTTTTTCCTTTCTAACAAGTGAAGGACCAGCTAGAGAATTCAGCTTAATAAGCTGTGTAGGAGGGGGATGGGCCTCTCCATGAAGGGTCCCATGATGACGAGGAGTCTCAGATGTCGAAGCATTATTTTGACCCGAACTTTCCGATGCGACGATTGGAGTAGATGAGGAATTCATTTGATTTGATACCATCACAGAATTTCCAGATGCCATAAGATTTTAAGAGGAGTGTTTTATAACAATCGAAATAACCAATGATGCCTGTGAAATGATTTAAAAACATGCGGATTTATTGCTGAAAACAAAAAGCCCGCAAAGTCCAATATTCGTTTCGCGCGCACTACCATAAACTAACAAAACAGAACCATGAAATAATTACTATGAAATCTCAATTCTCTGAAAATACTTACTTCAGGCCTCAATAAAAATTAAAAGCTGATTCAATGTTTGAAGTGAAAATTTCCGACGAATAGGAACACAGAGTAAGGTGTAGGTCACAAACTCGAATACTGGATTCTGAACAATATATAACTTGTTCAGTTACGTGATTTATTTCGTGCAGAACAACTACGTCCAATACAGCCATCCCAAAGATACGCAATGAAAACAGTCGAATCAGATTTGGATCGGCTTGGGATATTTAAGGAAATGTCATATCACACCATTCAGGATCCATATGACAAGCCAAACAAGCGTAGTACACGTTCTGCTTTCAAGGGTAAACAAATGTATTGCAGTGGATCAAAGGAAAGATCAGCAACAGCTGATGGTTATTTTGGACCTTTCACTAGGATTTATAATGGAGATAGCAAAATCGATCTCGGGAGGCTAGCACGTTTACAAAGAATAGAAAGTGCAAAGAAAATCAGAGGTAAGGACTGGATTCCACCAAGTGGTTCACACAGTTTGCATGGGCTTGGCAGCACCCTAGACACATTTAGTGGACCCGTACCCTATATGAAACCAACAGTGATTACAAAACATATAAAGTTAGATCATCGCCGAAATTTTTATACCTCTCCTGCAAAGAAAGGCTGTGGTTCATACATAGACATCACGATTGGAAAATACCCAAAATACAAAAGTGACGCCTATGATAAGCGTCCGAAGACAAACAAGTCCCAAAGTTCAACATCTGACAAAGTTTTTTACCTCAACCTTCATCCTGTGGACTACTTTGATCGAAATCCCTACCGACACGTTACTATAAGACGAAGCCATCCCAGCAAAACACAGAGTAACCTTCCTTTCAGAAAACTGTCTTCAAACCATCAAGCGGCCCTAAATCTCCAGGTGGATGTAAAGATGGTTGTTTCAGCCCTTTTCCAAGTTATACATCCAAAAGACCAAGAAAATCTGCCCAGGTCAAATCTGCTATACCGATTCTTAAAATACCAGGTTGCCCAAAGACATATCCTATTAGTTCAATATTGGAAGTTAATATCAGGCGTCGTATAAACTCTTCAAACTACAAAAGCATAAGGACGTCCATCTTTGACACCTAGACGGACGCGTAAGAATATCCACAATGTAAGTTTTGACTGTTTATACCTGTCTTTGACATACATATCTTGAGTGCTCTAGGATTCTATGAAAATCATTTTAGAAAACTCCGCTGCCATTCGATTGGGAGTTTTATTTAAAACCAGTATTTTTCATGAGGCGAGGATTTAACTAGTTGTAGACCAAGAAGATATCCACTAAGAAACACAACTTAGAGCTTCTGTATCAACTTTATAGTTAACCCCTTAGAACATCTCAGAATGTAGCTGAAACAGTTTACATTGCCTATTTACGTACTCATTTGCTTACGTTTTTACTAGTGCGATGTTTACTGATGGTATTTGTTGCCGGAACTCAATGATGATATAAACCGTCCTAGTCTATTTTTATTGTTATTACTTATTTTATTCTTGTAGGTAGGGCTTCAAGTTAGAGTTTGGAAACTTCGGTGGCAGAGGTTTAGGTGTACGTCAGCAAGGGGTCGGATGCCGAACCACATGCGTGGCCGGCGAACATTCTACCACCCTACAACTGACACACATCACACTCTATGGCTGACCGTAAATCTAATAAGAACTTCAAGAGTGATATATGCCACTTTCTAAACAGCACTCCAAAAATGATGTGTGTAAGCGCATTCCCCCTACCAGTCACGCTTTACTCTGTAACGTTTTCCTGCACCGGTAACCAAGGTTTTAATTGTCACAGAGACTAATATGTGTACTCGCTCAACTCTGTATTACTAAAATTGACTCTTAATAAAATGTTATACGCTTCAGAACGATAATGGGCGTAACGCAGAACTGCTGCAGAACCACTCATGGTGCAGCAGTGAGTCAACGATAAATATTTCTAGGAGATGAAGGATGCTGACGTTAACGAAAGGAACACTTTATACAGACGCAAGCTCTTCAGCAACTCCATTAGTACTAGTCCTGCTTCGACTACGAACAGTATAAAAATATGAAAATGATTTTTCAAAATATGATATGTTTACTTTAGTACCAGGACCACAGTTTGATGATAACTGATTAGATAGTTAGCGACCGTGCACGAATGACCGGATGTAACACGACAGTGTGCCCAATGGCGTGGATGCTTGATGACGAAGAGTGGCTTTATTGCATATCCCTGATAAGTGCAGACACGAAGTCCGCTGATATGGCGGTTTAATGACGAGTCATGCTTTCCAAATGAAATTTCTCATCAGAAATTTCTTTTTGGCGCGTATTTCATCGGTGGCACTATATTATTAATCTATGACTCTCTGGCAGCCTGACTTGTAATGGTTTTTCTGCTACAGTGACTGGGAAGATCGTCTTCATTTCCCACCGACATGTTTAAGATTTTTTTGGTAGAATATTCGGGGGGGGGGGGTCTTATGCGATATGTTTCTCCAAACTGTTACGATTTTAATTGACATTTCAGGTTCCCTCAAAAGTGGTAGATTTTCTTAGCCGAAGTGACTAGAAGTTCAGATCTGTCTCAATGCTCTGTCTTTTATACAGACTTCCAGCCACTTGAAAGAATTCGCCAACTACAGTTCTATGAATGTAGTCTCGATGAGTAATAGTTTTCAGCATAGTTCAGTGGAATATTCAAAACATAGTAATTTCACTAACAACCTACCTTCATAATAATACTTCAGTGCCCTTAAAATGGTTTACAGACTGCGTGGATGGACTGCTTACATCTTTCACACAAGGATTAGATCCCTTAGGAGACTGGGGATATCGATGAATACGCAAAACAGAATTCAATGAGTGTCCAGGAAACTGGTTAGTCGGGCTGTTTGAATGACTTCGAGCCCAGTCCTGATCTAGCTTTAACTACAAATAACTCTCATGATTTATGTGTGATCATCTGTCCTTAGCCTTGGCCACACTACCCGGTGACTCTTTACACTGGCCCACCTAACCCAGTGGACAGTCTGCTGTCAACACTGCCCCGATTACAGAAGAGAGAATATAACCCTTACAAGTTTTCAGGGATGTATTTATTTACGATGGAATAAAGAGATATACAGTCACACCACAGCTCACATCTGCGCTCTTGAACCTTGGAAACCCATTTTCCGCAATCTGATCCAGTCAGCACAGGTAAATAAATTGACCACTGAAAGCTAAATGACTGAGATTCGACTGAGTGGAAAAACTTCTTTTACCCCCTTACAAGTTTGCATATATATTCTCCAACCTTCAATGCACTTACCCTGAGGAGACCAATGAACTATTAGAAAGAAAAACGAGAACATTTATTTAGTCCTCCAAAATAAGAAATATATTCTGGGATCGAAAACGCTGAGTAGTAACGTGCACTTAGCTAACTACAGATTATTCACGAACAACTGAACGTAACACAACAGCTTGGCACGTGATTTGGATGGCTCAAAGTGCACCCTCAGCTTAACGATTCGACTTAAAGAATGAAGTTCAGCACCCAGTGTGAAATGACGAATGCCACAGACTAATAATTTAAGAGAATTATTTACTGTTACAATCTGTTAGTAAATATCCAACTTCTTGTTTCATTTGCAGTAAACAAATCCTAAAAAATGTGAATCAGTTATTGATTATAATTGTATTTCAGTAGTTGTCAACACATAGTGATAAATCTTTCTAAATGTAAACAATTAGTGCCACTGATCCCAAAGTAAATAGATAGATAGATAGTCATTTAAGAATTAGTTGTGAAGATTGTTACATAAATTAAAAATGAAGCAGACCAATATTTTAAAACAAATATTAAGATGTATGGATCTACGGGAGCTTTACAAATTGAAATATGGTTGCACTAAGGGGGTATTCTTAATATTCGGATTTCACAGTCTTATATAATAGGAAGTCAATAAATCTTTTCCCAATTGAAATCGTTTTTCCTTATCCTTTTGTTGGCTTTAAGCGAACTTTATTTCAGAATACAATCGAAATTGGTTGTAATTTAAAGTAAAACCTCAAACTACCGCGGTAGAAACATTTAAACAATCAAATATCAGCTAGGAAATGTACTTTGAAACCCAGTCAGCAGACAGTTATCTTCTAGAAATATCTATTTTGCATTTTTCAAATTTACAACGAAAATTTGGTCTCCAGGTGTTACTTAAAAGTAGTTCCCAGTAAATTCAGATACTAATATTTTTGTCAGATTGGGTTCTAGATTGTTTTTATTTTATTTAAAATAACCTAGTATAAACTGACTACATTTAACTCTGCTATCACGTAGGTCTTATTCAGCCTAAACGAATGAGATTAAAGATTTATGAATGATCTTTCTATTTCAGTGCTTTCTAAGTATTCTACTCTCAGTATATTCCTAAATTATTGTTAGTTAAAAAATGAAACTGACAAAAGTCAAACAGGCCAATATATCAAAACTTAGCAGAATGTATTAACCCTTCAATTAAGCAATTAGACTAAATTCAGGCTTTCTGAGCTGGGCTAATCTAAATACACTGCTGGTCAGTGCAACCCTAAACAAGGGGAACGGCTGTATGACGATGTTTAGACCATGTTACGATCTGGCTGGTAAATAATGTCTTTTGACATGATTGTTCTCTAACTACACATATCATTCAGCAGAACATACAGTCGTGTCAAAGTTTAAAAGTATGGAATGAAATGATTTCACCTTGGTTAACATTTTATTTCCACCAACTTTGGTATGTGATGAAAAAGTGGCTTTATAAGAATAAAATAATATTTTTAAATTACGCAGTACTCAGCGGTACAAAGGAAGAAATGGTCAGAAATCTGATAAGGTTAAAATTGTTGGTATTAGATGGTTGGAGGCAATCGGCCACTGGAAGCCTTGGACCTAGGTTTTGTGCTAATTGGCACTCATCAGCAAGGCGTATTTGCAACCTCGAAGGAACTCATTTCCTTCCTGAGATTCGAACCCGCATCACCCAGTGAAGCCTGCAGTCAGAGACGTTACCACTGAGCTATTCAGGCTCGCGATTGACCTCCTGTAGAAGTATATACTGGATATTTTGACTGGACAGTAGTCAGTAACTAGTATCCAATCAAAAAAGTTAAAATTGCTATTGAGTGAGAATAACGATGGTTGAGTGTCAATTCAACAAGTATGGAGAGGGTGTGAAAATGTATAAAAGGAACATATGAGTGTGGTAACAGTGAATTAATTATTAAAGTAAAAGCAAACTAAAAGTAAAATTTAAAATTTTTTACAGCCAACGACTAGTGAAGAGGTTAAGACCATAGTAGAATAAGAGACTAGACAAACATTTTCCCTATACAGAGTTTGGAGTTGTACTGACGAATTACCAACACCTTCACTATACACAAAAGCCGAAACCTAAAGCTCCTGTGTACCATTTGGCCTCACCTTATAGATGATGTTGAAAGACAACTCTAGTGGAGCTACGTGGCTTGATTTCACCAAGTGCTCGAGAATTGAGCACTTGTTAAATTGACACTCAACTACCTTTATTCTGACTCAAAAACAATTTTAACTTTATCAAATTTCTAACCATTTCTTTCTTTTATTTTTCACTTATAAAGCCATTTCTGAGTAATTATACCAATTATGTCATCCCCCCCTATTGCTCAATAATAGACTACTATACATTTTCGGTTTAATTTAATTTTTTTAATTTTTGATTTACAGCTTGATTCCACACTGTATTTTTGGTACAACTATGGAATTTTCAGCATGTGATATCGGTAGCCCAAATTTCGCAGGCCGACCATAGATATCAGGTGTGCTTCGGCGGGTGCTCGAACCCCGGACCATATGCGTGGTCGGCGAGAGTCCTAACCACTGTGCCACCAACGCACATCCTCTGAATACGATTTCGTTGATAAAGAAAATTTGTCTTCTTTTCTTTTCATCACTCAATGGGTATTTTCGGTGATTTGTTATGTGAGAAAACACTCTGAATGTTTCTTTTTAAATAACTTCTGGAGTGTGTTTAAATTTAAAATTAGTAAAATTGTTTCGCTTTCAGCAAGCTATACGTATCTTTTCTAGATCCACTACTGTTATTTTTTTCTTTTATCCACTGTTTT